CGAAGTAACGGCGGCCGATGGAAAACGCGGTTCAGGGGCCATATCGCTTTCCGGCGTCGACGTTGATCAAACGTTGACAGTGGATTTTGTCGCGGAGATTGCAGCGCGGAAACTTTGCGCTTGGGAGCGTGAAAAATTAAAAAAATCTCCTCGAGCGTGCATTCAATTTTCTCTTATGATACACGTACTATTTTGCAATGACAATTTTTCCACGAATTATTTCTCTTCTGCAAATTTCGATCTCCCCGGAGCTAACTGGTACGTAACGGGCGTGTTTCAATTTTCAATACAAAACATCGAATTTACGTATTAGATCGCGATAATCGCTGGAATTGAAGACACGTCGCTTCCATCGCAAAATTTCCACCACTCACGAGAGAATGCACGTGTATCCAGAGTACCGTTTTCATAAAATCGGTACCGAGGAGACAGCCGGCTATTCACGTGACTAGATTACGTAAAACTCAACGATCGGTTAAATAAAAGAACAAACGACTACGCACACGTGTACCGCGAGAACGAATCTCCGGTTGTTCCCTGGCTGTGCATCGATGACTCCTTTCCCCTTTCCTAGTCTCACTCTCAGCATACTTACTCTCGACGTATTTGCACTCTCAGCATACTTTCTTCCCTCTCCAATAACTACACGCACACGTGCAACGTATATTCGCGCTGAAACGAAATTTTTGTCCAATTATCCGTCGGATCACGTGTCCACGCCTCGCATCGTGCCGATGCCATTCGCCCCGTTCGTCTCCATCTCCAAGCGAGTTTCCACTCAACTCGGTAGCGACTCAAAGAACGCGCGGCGAAACGCGTAGAATCAGACTGGTCGGAAGGCACGAGTTCCATCGATGAACTCGGTGTCCGTTCAGACCTACGTGCAACGTTCGACGATCTGCAGCAGCGACTTTCAGCCGCGTACACGCACCGCGTGATTTCTGCTTGCTGGTCGGCTTCGTAGGGCTCGATCCGGGGCTGATCGAGGCGGGAAGTTCGCCGATCCGTTCGGTGGAGGTGAAAGGGTGGTTGGGGAGTTGCGTGGCATGCCAAGATGTTCGCCGGTAACACGCGACCGATGTGAATAGGAACGATGCGACGCATGGCGTCGTCACGTCCCCGGGGGGAGGGGGCGGTGAGGGCACCACCGCACCGGTTCACCCTGCGGGCTCTGGTCCAGGCCTGCCTCTGTTCGTACCAACAACAATCAACACGCACACGGTCAATTGCGAAAATTGCCTTTAGAGCCCTCCGCACACTATCGACGACTAGTCGCTCGCGAAAGAGACATTTGCCTGTACGGGTACGTGCGCGTATTTGACCACGCGACTGCTGCACGATTGTTTCGTTTTCGAGGTGTGGCAACTGGATAACGAGCGATCTGTTTTCATTTTGTCATCGGCCTTATGAAATTGAGCCTATCCGCGCACTAGTGGATAACAAATAGTCGACAGGACGATATTCTACGTGGAAATAAATCGAGAATGTGGACTAAAATTTATCCACAGAATGTTTTGTCTCTTTGAAATTTGTTGTTTCTTTTGAAAATTTATCATACGCGTTTAGAAGACTAATTGTTAACTGAACACGATCAGACTCTATCTTTTTACGAACGAAATCTTAAACGGAAATTTTATTTCACATTTTTCATTCGTTTTCGCGTGTAGAACAATCTCCTGGTAACTGGATCGGTGATTAGCCAAGTTCGAGTAAACCTGGCAAACTTTCAAGCTCGATCTTCTCGAAAACAAAGCGTCATATGAAAAGATCTTGTTCTATGTCTTTCTCTTACTTTTTTCATAAGAAATCACCCTATATTCGCATGTACGTGTTATTCGGCCGCACCGACCTATGTAAGCGGTTTTCTTGCCAAGTGCGCGCAGGTACAGCGATAAAATTGTTTCGTTGCATTACGCGAACGACAACGACCGAAACTGGCGCGCGACGAATTGTCGCTATTGCGCGGGGGCTCTTAAAGCTCGTGCTGCCTTTTTCGAAGGGAATGTGCCAGCGAACTCTACGTTTTGTAAAATTCTTTAACGCGGTTTCATGCTTTCCGCTCGGTGTAATCGTGCCGATCGAGATTGTACGTGCGGCTGGGTGGATGTGCTCGTGGAAGACGCGAGAGGGAGGAAAAGGGTGTTATTTTTTTTTCGCCAGCCAGATTGGGAACGGAGTGGATGAATAAGTGCGTTTGTACGGCGCGTTTGTACAAAGTGGACGTGTGATAGGGAAGGGAGGAACGAAGTTGTTTGGCTCGTGTTTTTATCGTTTTATGATAGCTGGTGGTTTCTATACGCTGGCTTTGTTCGTCGATGCCGCTTGTATTGGAAGGATGAAATCGAACAAGATGTCCGCGGGGATGGACAATGGGGGAAATTTTTTATTGCTGGTGTAAATTGCGAGTTTATTTTTCGCGGTACATGCTTTTTGGTTTTGCGCGAGAGGCCGGAGAGTTGAAAAGGCAGCACTATTTCAGGTTTCTGTACGTTTAGACGTTGAAGTTATTTATAGTACGAAGAGTAGTTTTAATAACAATTTGATCGACTTACCTACACAAACCATTCGTCTTTTTGGCTGGAGGAGATGTCGCTACAAAAACATTTTATTAATTGAATTACATTTCTCCAAGTTGAATTAGTTTATATATGTATATTTATAGATTAGAAATGTACATATGTATATTTTAAAATATAATAAAATTTTGCTAAGAATATCATTAATGCTGAAGTAATTTTGATTTAAAAAAGAAAGGTATTATTTAATTCAAATAGATATGGAGAAATTTCTAGTTAAGATATTGCAACATTACGTTATCAATGTTTTATAGACTTATATTAGTGTCAGGGTGTTGTTATCGGCTAATAAAATGACAATATTGTTTTATAAGCAATTTCTTCGTTTTATGTATTGCATCATAACCATTGATGGATCGCTTAAGCAATATCACATAATACTTATGTGATAAGCTGCGAAACGAAATTAAATTAAAAATTTAATTAAACGTCACGAGACTGTGAAGTACGACTGACATTAACGCAAACATTCATTTAAAAAGCGAGCAGGATCCGAAAGCTAAAACAATTTTAATCTTGTTACTGTGTTCTGAGCAGAATTTTTTAGGTACCATTGTAAAATGTATGAATTTCAATCTAAACGCACACGAAGTTCATTACTTTGAGATTCAACGCATTCCTTTACATCGACTTTGAAAATTAATGTACACTATGTTTGTACTCTTCAATAAACCTTGCGTGACAGAACATTAGTTACAACCCCTTCTAATTTTCATATTTCCTCGAAATTTTTCGTAATATTTTTCTTCGAAGAAAAAGGATTAAGTAATTTCATTGATAACTTTCTATTCTGAACAGGATGGTTACTATACTGCAGACGTTTATACAAATTCATATTTTTATGAATATAATTGAAAAAATGAAACCTGCGTAGAATATCGTTTTACCTGACTGAATATCATAGAAAATATTATATTTTGGATATTTACATATTTTTACACATCACGTGTATATTCTGTATACCATGAAATTTCATCTACAAATGCATACAAATCCGCAGTGTCTCGCAACAGTGCTACTGAAATTTCAGAATATTTCGTATACATAACGTCAATATTTATAATACATCCATAAAGGGTGTGTGCCAGTAGCTGGTGGATTTTACGCTTAACGTGTTAGGTGTACATGTAATCATAAATAGTTTCAAATTGTTAAATCGGCTCGGCGATTTGTTCGGCTGCGAACATATCAGTAACCATGATGTTGTGAATGTTGTGGAGGACTTTTCTTCCCTTGGTCCTATGAAAGTTCTCTTGATAATCAAACCAAGAGCAGTCCTTCTCAGTCTTTTAATTAGAATTTTTTCTTCGAAAGATCGCGGAGAAAACAGTCGTCTCCGACAAACCGTCCACGGCATTCATTTTTAAGGATCGATATACTCGCGTATTAAATTATCGACTCGAATTAAATGAACGCAGTGAAGAAAAGGAATTCTAAACGTTCGCAGCAATTGCAGAAACGAGTAGGACGCGCGACACTGGCTGCAGCGCGGAATAGAACGTCTTGAACGAAGGAAAAATGTGTGCGAGGCTGAAGAAAGATAAAAAATAAAAAAAGAAGATAATGAAGAGGTTGTACTGATGCAATGGATATCCATAGACTTTTGTTTAGCGTAAAAGCTATTTTCAAACGTTGTATCCGCGTCCTACGATCTGCGAGTCGACTGCAGTCATTGACACACGCTTTGTTTATCCAAGCAATCAACTCGCTCTGACAGTGGTTTAAAGAAAGAAACAACAGCACAAAACAAAAATTATATCATATTATATAAAACAATTTCCGAAATATTTTGTTACGATATATCGTATTACGTATCGCCGCTCCTGATGTATTTTTGTTCAAATATTTTCGTCAGCCTGTACATCGCTGTTCGACATTGATAATGGTACAACTCCAAAAATCTCAAATTTGCTTCATTTATTCGATACAATGGCTACGTTATATTCCTATTTTTATCATGTAAAACAGCATATTCATAGTGCCATCAGTTTTTCATATGTCGCTATCAATCTGTCTCTAGTTTTAGAACAACGCTTTGTCTCCTCTCCTCCAAAATTTACATTTTTTAAGTCGTACCATTATCAGTGTCAAGCAGCGATATATCTGGCGCGTTATGGATGATTCTACTGTAATTACTGATTTACGGTTTGGTTTAGTTACCTGTCGGAACCGTGGCTCCTCACTTTGCCTGGCAGTAGAGGCGGACCCGGGCCGCGCTGTGCCCGTGCCTGAGGCCCGCAGGGCGCAGCCAGTTTCCCGGCCGCGGCAGGGTCGTGGCACCCGTTACCCCC